TTGACACATCCCGCTGAAACAAACCAACCCCAAACCATGATGCCTCTGCCTGGGTGTACAAAATGATGCTTTGAACTTTCCTGAATAGTAATCGGGTGTCATTATCTGTGTGTCCCGAAATAATTAAACTATTTAAATCCCACTTGCAGATCTCTTGGACTTGCATGCATTTCAATATCAACAGCGTCAAGACTTCTTTTAGTGTCTTTCAGTCTGTTTTTAGGATGGACTTGATTTAATTGTAAGCTATTTTACATGGAGTTATTGTTTTGAAATTCTTCACAGAGATACAAATTTAAGAAGCTGCTACAATTTATTTTGTAAAGCCTTTTGTGTAAAGCCCTTCCACAGCTCTAACAAACTCTGTGTAAATAACCTTCAAAGCATCGTTGAAAAAGATTTTAATTATCTAAAACGTGTTCAGCAGAGCACACAGTAACTAAAAACGGGTCTGCATCACTGTGAAACATGCAAGCATTAACCAATGAAAGAGCACCGTTTTCACCAATCACAAACAAGACATCCACAAAATGGTGTTGGAAAAAGAAACAGGTGAAAATGAATTCTGGTAGTTGTACTTCACATGTTTTCTGGACAAAATTACTTGTGCTCTTTCAAATGACATACAGAACCTGCACTTTAGTGTGTAAAAAAAAAAAAACAATGACTATAGTGTGCGTTAACTAAATGTCCTGTGTAAAATATCCTACATATAGTTACATCTGTGGAAATCCAATGTGTGTCTGTTTGAATATGAATAAGTAGGTGTGAACAGGTGTGTGTATACAGCATTGAACAAAGGCTCAGGTCCAACAGTCAAAAGCTTCGGAGGTCATGTTGTACACACACACATTCAAATATGGTCTGAGCCTTTTTAATCCAGCCTTCCAGTCTGTTTTTGTGGATCTCATATTTGTAGATCTGTTTTTCTTTTTTGGCACCAGGCAACACTGTGTTGGCTCATTTAAGGAATTGTACCTCACAAGAACAAAGGGGATAAAAAGATGTTGTTTATAAGATAAAAATACTTATAAGCATTAGTTTGGGCAGATCATTGCTGATCTGTCAAATCCCTTCTACTGCAATTGCGTGCACAGACGATGTAACATCAAGTGATTCCTCATTTGTCAACCTTAGACATAATGAGTTAAACAATGTCTTGCACACAGCATAGTTCGGAGACAACTAACAAAACCTGAATGGTGGCATTAAAGGCTTCACTGGAACCGTCTTGTTTTCAGTTAGTAATTAGAAAGAGTTTAGAAGCATTTGTTTTGATGAATGGACTCTGAAGTTCATGTGCTCACGTTTTTGACCCAACATTTCTCTGTACGGAGCCATGTTTTTAGCAACTACTTCTAGCTAACATATATGTATCCTTGGGATTAACATTATATTAGTCTTGGGCTTTTAATAAATTACATTGAATTTTCTTTTTTCAGCATGTAACGATCATATAGCAAACAGCTTTGACACTGATGGTTACCTGTAAACGTTTTAGGATCGTCTATAAGGGTCAAAGTTTTACTTACAGGTTCAAAGTCTGCAAGATAAAACACATACATATAGTGCGATTGCTGCTATTGCTGAATTATACATAGACAATATTAATAAAGCCACATTTTTCTAACACTTTGAAACTCCATAGTCGACACCTTCAAGCATTTCCACAAGCCAAATTCCTTCTGAAGATATAAGCATGGATGTGGTATCATCATGCTGGGGCCTGTTGAACTAAGCATGCTAGTACTGAAAGCATAATTAAAATAGAGAAGAACCTATTAGCTATAAAATTCACACAAAATCAGCTCTTAGATAATTGAAACACATGTTTGCTGAAAAGGAACAATGACCCCAAGCAAATCAAAACTGGTTACATAATTGGAAAAGGCAAGAAACTCTTGACATGTTTGACATCTATCTCCTTTGTGTTAACTGTTCTGTCTTATTTTTTTATGTTCACCAGGAAGCTCACAGCACAGGTTTCCCCACCTAAAAACATATGTAGGTTGTCTGTCAGCTCTGAATGACAAATCAGTGATTCATCACCCATTAAACAAAGGTTTTATAGTTGGAAATTTCCCCTAAAGCATGATTGTCATTTTTTTTTGAATTTGTGGATTAAACTAAGCTAACAGGACCAGAGTTCAAGAGAAAGATTACAGCAAATCTTTCATAACATCTTCCCCAGACAGTCAGAAAGATCAGATTTGACCTCAATAAAGTAAAAAAAAAAAAAAAGGATAATCTCCAAGAAGATTAGCATTATTAACAAAACAGATACGGATGGCAAAAAAGGAATATTATTTATTAGTTCAGTTATACAGAGAGACCACAGGAGATGTTTGCCGAAAAGGCTCAGCTTTATACAAACATTAAGCCTCCACACCCTCACCTAAACAACCAACAGCATAACTGAAGAGCATGACAGCATTATCTGATCTACTAGTGGCTCATTTTGAAAAACTGTGCAAGTTTTCATACTGAAAACTTTCAGAGATCTTCAGGATGTTTTCAATATTCAGCTGTGAATGAAGGCCTGCAACACCACTCACTCAAACGCTGAACCAGTGCCAATCCCTTACTTTTATCAGAATGTTTGAACAGACTGTGCTATTCCATGCCTTACTGCACATGCTAACGTTTTTTTTTGTTGTTTTTTTACAGCAACACAACAGTGTAACTCCACAGTTTTTCATGAACTTTTAAGTTACTGAACAGGCACAAAACTATTCAAAACCACAGGAAAAATTTGGTTTAAAGTAATCTTTTTATTTAAGTAAAATGTTGCTTCTCACTGGAAGCAATATTAGTTTGTATCTGAAGGAGAATGATGTTCTCCCTGTGCATGTGTGGGTTCTCTCCTGGTACTCGGGCTTCTTCCCAAAGTCCAAAAACATGACTATTAGTTTACTTGTTCTTTCTAAATTCTCCTTACTTATGAGTGAGTGTATAGTTATTCACCCTGTGAACTCTGTGCTACCCTGGAATGGACTGGCAACCTGTCCATGATGTACCCCTCCTCTCAGCCCCCCTCACAACCCTGAAAGGATAAGCGTGTTAGATTATGGATGGGCCTAAAAGCCAATATATAACCTGGAAGATAATATATTGGAAGTCCCCTTAAGAGACTAAGAAATACTTTATTCATATAAATCACTTCTTCTTTTTTTCTTTTCTTTTTCTTTTTTTACAAGATTTAACCTAATTTAAAACATTGGAATTTTAATCTGATGGCCTGTCCATGTCCTTCTGATGTAATTCTCTTCTCCCTTCAATGCTCCATCTGGGTTTTCTCCAGTTGAATTTCAACCGGGCCAATTAGTGAACAGAGGGAGGAGTTTTGAACAATTACATAAATTTTCTGCACTTTTTTAGAATGGCAGTGGAGGAAGTGAAAGTATTGTTAGTATTGATGCTACTGAAATATGGTCTTGATATCACAAATGTGCATCTGTAAGTATTTTGTTGCATATGGGATTTTTAAAAAGCATCACAAACCAAACATATTTCTTTGGATTAAGGGGAATTTGAAACAAAAAAGAAAGTAAATCCACACAAGATACCTTATCAACAACATCCTGTTGAGTTCTTTCAACCTGAATAAGCAGTCCTACAATTGACTCAGTAGTTTGTTTTTCTTGTTAACAGGCAAGTGAGTATGTCATGGCTGAATTTGACCTGTTTGCATACGTTGTTGTTTTTATCACTCCTGTCACTTGCATTAGTCGTATTTACCCAGATCACCTGACACATATCCATCCTGCCTGAGTCACATATAATTGAACTGAATAAGGAAATGTGTCCCATCCTGTGCAGCAGGTTTTCTTCCTTTCCAATGATCTGCAGTTGTTGCTTGTGTCGGCACAGTTGAACATGACAAACAAAAGCATGACCAAGATCTCGGCCAAGGATGATGAAGATATTCCTGGATCCAGACCACTTCTAAGGTAAGCAGCTGGTGGATGCTATTTATTTTTTATGTTGATTCCAAAAACTATAGAGAATTTCTTTCTCAGTGCCATCTGGATCTTGGTGCTGCAGTTGATCATGACAAATTACAAAGTGGGTAAAATTGTATGGTTCCATGCTAGACAGCTTCAGATCTGATGTGGCAGATCTGCAACATTGAGGAATCCCACGTGCAATGATTGTTTCCTAGGCAAACAATGTTTGCACGTGGGATTCCTCAAGACTCTATTATCAGGTCAGCAATATTTAATAATTATATCCTACAAGCCTGCATGATTCATACCAGAGACAAAGTCAATGCTGATTCATTATAAAGTTCAAAAGACAGGTAATTTTTGAGCTTGCAACAAATGCAGAATGTAAACGACACCTTCATGGCCCTCCACTTCAACATTTTTAAAATATAATGACTCAACAAGATGCGTGATCAAACTAGTTCAACACCAAGGCAAAGCTTTTCAATTCCACAAACTGCCAGGGGGGAAAACAGACACTGAGTGAGATGGTTCAGATGCGGTGCTTCCTTCACTATTTGAAACACTTCCCAACATAGACTGCCAGGACCCACTCCGGGACTTTCCACTGTTTTCACAACTTCTGTTTAGAATCATTTACATGTAGAACGTTAATGAAGAAGATGATGATGATGATGAGGTGATGATTTATTAAAAGTATATAGAGTACTATACAGCATCAAGATCACAACTATGAGCAGCAGAAACTGATAGCCCTGTTTATCACTCACTTTTAACAACTATGGTTAAAAAAATTATCTCTTATATCACAAATGTCTCAATCATTTTCTGATTTGCAGTATGTCTACAAAGACTGATATTTGATAATGTAACATGAAAATTAATGAATTATAAGAACTGCAAAAAGTTTGTTTTATTGTGAGCTGTTTCATATTTAAATTTATTAAATCATTTGTGATTTATGTGCCCAGAACTGTATTTAGTTAGAAAAAAAAAACTTAATCATAACAGCTGACAATTTAATCATGAAGTCATAAACTGTTTTCAGCTTACATGCGGCTGCTGAAACTGTCCAGTTCCTCGAACACGTCTCCCCCTTCATCCTTTCGCTTTTTCTTCTTGAGCCTCAGAGACAAGAACCGCTTTGGTTTCTTTTCTTTCGGGGAACTGAGGACCCCATCCAGGGGTGGCGTCCTGCCGTCTCCGGGGCTAACGGGGCCCGGGTCGTGGAGTCGCAGAGAGCTCGGATCATCCCGGTGGATGGTCGCGGAGCGTTTCAGCTCCTTCTTCTCCTTCTCGATGGATTTTTGTTTGAATAAACCCTTCAGCGTGCCGGACTTGCTCATGGTGCAGCCAGGGACCGACAGCACGAAGGTGTAAACATGAGGAGAGCAGTTTGTCTTAAAGCGACCTGGGGGACTGACTCACCGGGATAACCTGCAGAGCGGGTTGGCGCGAGCGCGAAGGACCTGCCCACAGAGCCAGTGGCGCGCGCCAACAGGTGAAGAAGCGCAGCCGTATCTGGGAAGATTAAAAGATGCGACACAACTTCCGATTTCAGTGCAAACACCTTCGCATTTTATTTAGCCTGATATTTATTTATAACTGTCAGGATTCCAATTCCAAATTATTTTTCTTTGTGTGTGTGTGTGTGTTTGTGTGAAGGAGACGCAGATAAGCAGGAGATCGCCTCCTTATAAAAAAATATTTTCAGACACATTTTAACAACTTGGAATATTATTGAAAAAAAATATTTATTTTATTACTTTGAGTGAAAATGCAAAATGTATCCATTGCATAAACATATTTAGCAAAATGTGACTTATTTCAAGGGTTTATTATTTGGTTCATGTATTCCTTCTCAGAAAGCATGCCCAGGTACCTTACAGAGTTTATACTTAGTACACCTTTTGAGTCACTTTCTGAGAATTAGTGCACAGTTACGGGCTAAAAATCTGTGAGATGCCAAGGAAACTCAGGTTGCAGTGGCCTTCAGCTCATCTGGTTCTGGTGTCTCCACATATTCTAATGCAGCCGATGTAGTTGATGAGTTCACCTGAAAATGAGCTCAGCAACATCTCCATAAAACCTATCAGCAGACTTACACATGAAGTGTTATACAATTGTGTCTGTCAATGCTGACTTTGGACTTCATAAACCACAACAGCAGATAACACAGCTCTTCAAACCATAACAGTTGTGGAAATGTCACACTGGAAATCGAGCAACTTCTCCAATCTTGATTTCCATCTGAAATACATAATTGACTAATTGGCATAAGTTTTTTTTTTTTTAGTAAAGGGACTAACCATAAAGTCTTTATAGGAAGAATCACATTAATTTATGTGAAAGATTCATTTTAAATTGCATATATGAGACATTTGTTTTCTTAATATTTTCATTCTAATATGTGAAAAACATATTACAATGATTACAATGGGATAAGTCTTCATATCTGTACAACATGTCACGACATCTGTTATTACATATTAGCTGTAGTCATATCCACATCCAGCAATTGGTTATGTATAAACAGTTGCTTAATTGCCAATGTTTTGTGCCAGAAGAATCTCCTCAGGGATTAAAGAAAAAAAAATTCTTTTTGCTGCTAACCATAGAAACTGTGTTGATTACAGACGTTTGATTGGGGCCACAATCCAAACCTGGAAATAAATGTCTTCACTTTTTGGCAACAAACAGGTGTTTGGCATAAGACTTCTGATCAAATACCCAAAATGGCTTCTAAGAGTTGTTCAAGAGCAAAGAACTACTTGCAGTGAGTTATATATCAGAAAGACATATAATTAACAAGAATCGTTATTTCAAGGAAAATCATAATGAAGATTTCTCAGAAACTTCTCTGTGTAAGACTTCATTGGAGAGGGAAAAGATAGTTTAAAGTATGCTGCAGAACATTTGTAGAGATTTGTCTGCAAATTACACAAACCATGTTTTGATGATGAACAACACTGCATATACAACATAGAGGAAATGTGGCGCTGTGACTGTGTGATGAAGTGTCTTTCCCCCTCCCTTTAGAGTTACAGCGCTCTCTGTGATTAGGGATCCTAAAGACAATAAAAAGAGAGGGGCAGGCAAATGTGCTTCAGAGCAGCAGGAGATTTGTAACTGAAAGCACATCTCTGTCTGTTCTCCTCGCGAGTATTAAGAATCTAACTTTCTCTTGTCTTTCCTGTGTTATGTGCTGTGTTTAATAGGTGTCAACTCTGACAGAACCAAATATCAGCTCGAATTAAACAGCTTGTTTGGAGAACTATGTAAAAACTCCGCCGGAGCATTGCAGGAAAATATATTCTTATCATTGTCATTAGAAACAAAAGCCTTGTACCTTTGAGTTCAGTATTTATTCCTCGTGCCATTTCACTTTATTAAACATCCGCCATCAGTGTGTGACTATTTGCTCGAACGTTTGAATGACTGAATGTAGAGAAGCATTTGGGGTCGTCTGGACTTGGAAAGGCGCAACAGACCATTTACCATTTTTGAGTATTTGGATTGTGACAGACGTCTGCTAGAGGTTTAATGTCAACAGGAACACTAGAAATTTACTGACTTACTTACTTTTAGAAAAACTTTTACATAAATACTTATTTTCCTCACCATATAGTTAAAATGACAGCTCTATCTGCTGGTCAGGATGAGGTAGCACACAGATAAGCTTGGCTGTTCCAAAAGCAATAATTTAATCACTTTTTCATGCTTTTTCTTGAACTCCTTAGCCTGACGCCAACTGATTCAACAAGACTGTCCAAATAAAATGCAAATTAAAAAAAAAAAGACTCAAGTAATGAAATGAATTAGGATGTCAAAATATTAAACCAACGTCCATGAACAAAATAAATCTAGTGCAAATCAAGTTGGCGGTTTGAGGTCTGAAGAGATTGAAACATGTTTTTGCATGTGGCAAAACACGTTCAAAGACTGAAAATGAGATCAAGAGGAGGCACCAGCTCTTTGCCACAGTTTCCACAACAATATCTCAACCAATTTTATTCTCACAATTCTCAAAGATTTCAACTTTTAGGTTCCTCTTAACTGTACCTATGAGAGGACGGCAAATGTAATCTGTGTAACAATAAGCAAACTTTAGAAAACTGAAGTTTGTCTGGAAGATACAAGATAATAATAATTAAAAAAAAACATACAGGAAAAACATACAGGGGGTGTAGAATAAGACAGAATTGTGGTTTGTTATTGGAGCCATCAGATAAGAGCAGTGCTGTTTGGGACAGCAGCTAGAAAGGTGCAAGATCAGTGAAGCAGTTCAGACAGCAGCAGGGGTGGTGAGAATGTGGTTTTAGCTTCAGCTTCTTCTGCTTTTAAGATTTAGTTTCTGTGCTCAGAGTGTCTTTAGCATAAAACCGACTCTTGACTGAAAAGTGTCTTCACCAGCAGCTGTCTCTGCACCTGCATTGTCATTTTCTTACTACTTTGAATCAACAAAGTTTAACATCGAACATCACCATTTCAGAAGGTAAGTCCTCAGAAATAACAAAACCTTTTCACTTTAAAAATCAGGGCTCGACTTTTTCGTTCATGATAGTTTTTATGATGTTCTTGCTAAATGAAAAAGTTTGCAGTGAAGTGTAACTAAAGTTCAGGTATGACATTTATTAAACACATTTTATTTGATAAGTGATGGTTTAAGTAAACATGTTTGACCAGGTTTGAAATACAGGTACTTGTTGCATAACATCACATTTTAAAAGTGTCTTATTTTTTGCTTTGGTTATGAATAAAATTTTGGAAAACCACAAGAGATAAAGCAATAAAATTGGAATCATCTAGTAAAACTGTCAGTTTTGTCAAAAACAGCATTTGGAGAACCTGAAATTATCAAATCTGGTCATCTGTCAAGATATAGACACACGTCTATGCTTCCCTTTTCGGTTTCAGAAAAAAAAACACAAATGTATTTTCATAGACCTGCTTTTTGCTGCAATCCATTTCGTACTTTGCGTTAACTGAGACATGAAGATGCTTTATTTTATCAGGTCTCTGCCTCAAGACATGATTCAAAAAAAAAAAAAATCACATGCTACTAATAAAACTAGTAAGAAAATTTTAATTTAAAACTGCAATAATTCACTGGCTGCATCAATGATACTTTTATTGGTTTTCATTCGGTAAATTAGAACTGTGACAAAAGATTTTGTGTGAGAAAATCCCTGGCAATCACCCAGGTTAGAGTAACTCTAAAAATCTCACACACCCATTTTCTTACAGTACAGAAAATAAAATGCAGGTGGTTACCATGTAAAATTGACTATTTTGAACTTTATATCATGTTAAATTATTATTACCTCATCAAAAACATACCAGAAGTGTTACTTGGAGTTTTTCACACTTTTGAGAAATCCTTGAGTCTCCCGTGGCAGACATTCGGCCTCCCTAAACACTTGCTTTCACAAAGACAGTCCAGTTTCAAGGGTTCAATTTACAAAGTCAAATTTCATGTTTGACATACACAGAATTGTTATAACAACTGGAGAAAAAAAAACTTACTTGATTGAGTGCATGAAAAGCACATAATATATAGAATTAAAAGTCATCCCATATAATAGTAAAATACATAAAATGGGTTTTGGCTTCCATATTGAAAATATAATTTGATTTCGCAATTCAGAAAATATTTAACAATTCACAAGAAGAGTGATCAGAATTGGAAATGGATGAGATCAAACACAGGTGAATGTGAATAAATTATGCCACTGAAAATATTTGTCACTTATTTTAAAAAGACTAATTCATATATTACATAGATACATTAAATGTAT